TGTGAAAATATTAACTTTCTTGTAATGCAGAGTATATCTGTGAAAATATTAACTTTCTTGTAATGCAGAGTATATCTGTGAAAATATTAACTTTCTTGTAATGCAGATTGAGATATATATATTTAATATGGTTATACAAGACTTCCAGCCTTTTAAAAAAAAAGAAAACAAGAAACACTGAAAGTTATTCACTGGTAGTTATGTTTTTGATATTTGGTTTCTTAGAAAGTTTTCGATTTCATCACTTCTTTATGGCTCTATGTTAATTTTTCTTTTGAAGTGAGTATAAAATTTAAAATGATCATATTGGTGGCTGTGGTGTTATTTTTATATGAATATTTAATGCTCAGTTTCTAAAATTTTCCTAGCCCAAGTTATAGGTAGTCTCATTTGTTACTAATACAATCAAATCAGAATTGTTTAACTGATGAGACTGATATTTGTTCACAGGTTTGCAACCAATTATTTTTTGTTTCCGAGTCAAATTTTATTCTCCAGAACCTCACCAAATGAAGGAAGAGATCACACGGTAAATGAACTTTGTTTTCCTACTGGTTTATTGACCAAACCGTTGTAACTGAAACTGATCGTAGATTTACACTAAAACTTATTACGCAGTGTTTCATGCAATACCCTTCATTAAGTGTATGTGTCTAATCTAAATGAATTTCAGCCCATAATTTTGACTGTTTGTGTAAAATTTCATTCATAAAACCTTGAAAAATCTGTAAACCTCCCCTAATTAGTGCTGAGTATTGTAGATACAAAGACATTAAGATTGTGTTGTGGAGGAGTAGGTGGTGGTGCTAATTTTTAAATATGTAAGCATTTTTATACCATTATTTTTAAAGTCATCCAGTAAAAAGGGTAATTTGTATTTTTTACAATTCACTAATATTTTTCACAGTATCATATAATTATCGTATATAATGTACACTGTTAAAAAAATGCTGTCAAATTTTCCAAATATATTTAAAAAAAAAGTGTGGTTTAATATCACAAAAGCCCTGTAACAGTGGTGTTTCTACTGAAAATTAAGAGAAAAATAAATAAAAAATCAATTACAATGCCAATATATTAATATACTTTTCATTTTGAAATCAAGAGAAAGTAAGCCAATGCATGAATGTGATATTTCAGATAAACGTGAGCTTAAGATAAAACAACAGTATTTCTTTTAAGTGTCTGTTTTTCTTGATTCTTTTAGCTACACTTGCTAAACTTGTTTGTATGTAATCTTGAACAGTTGTATAGCTATGGTTATAGCATGTTGATAGTAACGTATGCCCATTCACCTCTCCCATGTTAAGACAAAGTGTAGCACCTTATCTCTTGAATGCCAGCATGGGGTTACTGTGGCCCCATACAAGTTAAACCTGTATATTAAACTATTCACCCTGGCATTCTGTACTTAACCCAATGTGTACTAAGCCCGTAGTGGAGAAGTAATATTAACTATCATTCCAAAAATTACTATGTGTATCTTCACAAAATGTGGCAAGCTTTTAGTAAAATGTACAAAATGTACACAAAAAATCAGATGTGTTAATAAAATATGTATACTCAAGATGTATATATATATTTATTGATGATGTCAATCTTATTCATAAACGTCGGGGTTTAAGATAATATTCATGTGGAGGATAAAAATACTTTTGTCCATCTGATAGTTTGTACATTCTACTTCTAGAACCTCTAACATGTATGTCTACCTTTTTTGTTTCAATGTTCCTGTATATTGTATCTGATGTTTACTCTTCTCTACTAAGGAGTGTGGTTAAATCATCGATTTAATGTCAGATGAATAGTTGACACATCAAATACCATGTTGAATGATACTCTGTAAAAGATCATGGCATGTGCTCTTTGACCCCATCCATGAACATGGTGTTAAGGGATAACTATAAAATCTGTCATGCTTTTCATTTTCACACAAACATTTTAGTTTTGCTAACTGTTAAATAAATTAGTGTTAGGTCTGTTTTACATTATCTATATTTGTGCACCATTTACACAGTGTTTCTAAATTTTAGATTTTTTTTCACTAGTTAATATGTTAATTAAGTTTTGACTCTTCATGTTAAAGAATTTTTTAAATTCCTCTTTCATATGTATTTATATAAAGTGTAATTTGAGTTCATTCTTGCATACAGATACCAGATTTTTCTCCAGCTTCGTCGGGATCTTCTTCATGGAAGGCTTTATTGTTCTCAAGCTGATGCTGCCTTCTTGGGTGCTTATATTGTTCAATGTAAGTACCAGATCAACATCTCTCTCTCTTGTGAACTCTTTGTTCTAGCTATACTTACGATGTTATTTTACCATGAATGAAGCCTCTTAACAATTAAACACACTGTTTCTTACCTGTTACTGAAGATTCATTAAATTAATCAGAATGTAATCCATCCAACGATCAAATGGCTGTATGTAAAATGTAAAATTGCTGGTAACTTTTTCCACACTTTAAGTTTATAACATTTGTATTATTTTTTGTCAGAAATGAGAAACTCCAGTCAACAGCTGTAGTATACGTTTTTTTAACAAGTCTTATCCGTACTGTTGGAACATGCCTTTAAGTTATAGCACAAGTAGTAAAATACAAAATTCCTATGTAGTATTTAACTATTGTAACAACTACAAACACATTACTGATTTCTGCTCAGTTGAAATCAAAAGACTTTGTACATGTGCTGTTGTAACAAGCAAACTAACTTTATTATCAGGTGAAAATTTCATAAAATGTTGAAAGTGTATTTTTTTCTGTTTCAAGCTTCTGGTGATATTGTAGGAATCTTCTTTGTTATTGAGAGAAAAAAAATTAATTTTGTTTAATTGTGGTTTACTTGTTTTGTCATTGAAATTTATTTGTGAGTTGTATTTTAGTGATACAATAAATTGTAACTTGACTAGTACTGCAGATCCAAAAATTACTGCCTTTATGTATAAAAACAGAGATTAATACTTCATACAGTGGCTCCGACAATTCAAAAACTGTGGTGAACAATATCTCTTGCAATAATGCCAATAAATGATCATCATGCACAAAGAATGATGCAAAGCAACAACCTGCAGTAGGCACAAAGAACCAAACCAACCAATTACCATCACACACATAACTAGATATGAAATGCAGCTCAGTTTGAATGGCTAATGTCAGATAGCATGCAAGACTTATATGTGGGGCACAATACAAGGCCACCTGTGTCACATACTTCGTTGTCTTCATGCTTGCATTTTCTAAGGTTCGTTTTCAAAAATGCAAGTGACAAAAGTCTAGAAAAGTCTGTACAGAAACCTCAGACGGAAATACATGGTA